TCAGGAGTCACATCTATCATATGTTGGAATCCTGCAAGATGAAATCAAAGTTTCTGAAGGTTTGGTGTATGACAGGACGAGTGGAGAACTTGTAGGATGTGTAGATCTTGACAAGACAGGGAATGAACTGTTGAACATTGGGCATGTCTTGCAGGATACAAAGCCTAAACTTGCAACCACTATATTAGTAGTGATGATACGTGGACTGTCCTCAAATTTGAAATACCCATTAGCATGTTTTGCAACAAATGGGATAACGGCAGATCTATTGTACCCTATCATATGGGAAACTGTTGAAATTTTAGAAGTAGACTGCATGCTTAAATGCCTATTTGTTACATGTGACGGTGCATCACCCAACCGTAGATTTTTTTATTTGCATTGCACAAACGACAACTTTTACTGGACATGGAATCCTTATGCCACGCCCAGAAGAAAACTCTACTTTATTTCTGATGTTCCACATCTAATAAAGACGACAAGAAATTGTTTTGCAAATTCATATTCCCATAATAGGAATAGGAAACTTTGGAAGGATGGCAAGGACATAAGTTGGATGCACTTAGTCCAGTTGTATGAACAATATGTTGAGAACAATCTTTATAGTCGTGCCCCAAAATTGACGCGTTTGCATATAGATTTAAGTGCATTCTCAAAAATGAAGGTGAATTTGGCTGCACAAGTATTAAGTGACACTGTAGCGAATGCACTTGAAGAATTATACGGTGATCAGGTATTCGAAACTGTCAGATTTATAAGACACATGAACAAATTCTTTGACTGTATGAATACTAGGAATATAAATGAAGCAGTTTGCAAAAGACAGCCAAACCTTAAAGAATATCGTCAACTTAATGACTGTCGGTTTCAATACTTGCTTCAAGATTTTCTTGGATATTTCAGTGATTGGGAGGAAAGTGTCGGAAATCGGGCTGGGAACTTTACAAAGTCGCAACGACACTGTTTGATGTTAAGTACCCAAACTCTGAAAGGACTAAAAATCAGTGTTAATTCCATTGTGGAAAGTACAAAGTTCCTACTAGCTGAAGGAGCAAAGTTTGTTTTAACAAACCGGTTTAATCAAGACCCCCTGGAAGAACACTTTGCACATTATAGGCATAAAGGGGGCTCAAATGACAATCCATCAGTATTTGAAGTTAAAAATACCCTTGCTCAACTTAGAGTGATAGGTTAATTCTACTGCCCTGGCACCAATACATGGAAACATAACAAGAAAGAGACAATCACATGGACTTGTGTTAGATAATACTCCATTACCAAAGAGACAAAAACGTTAAAACATACTGATTGACATAATGTTTATTTCATTACATCAGTCCCTGTAAATCATTTTGACGATGATGTTTCAACAGTCATCAGTCAGAGATCGGATGGTGTGGGCTCACAAACTGTGACCATGGTGACCCTCCAGACTTGGAGTTCAAATGGTAACATAAATGGTGTCTAACAGTACACAGTAATTACTGTAATTCTAAATTCTTAGACAGCTCAGAATTGCAAAATGTTAGCATTGATTCGATGCATATTTGTCTATTCTCACGAACTTATGAACCCATTACTAACAACAGTAAGGAGTGACATACTGTACTGTACATATTTGAATAATGTATCAACTGTCCATGCTGTGATATACAGATTATTATTGTCAACATTATATTAAGAAATTAACTGAAATGTGTTCCTTAAATGTCATATTTTTACTGAATAAAATGTCTGAAACATTTATTGCTGTCTCATGTTTGAACATGTTTTTATCAGAAACATGCACATGCAAAGACATTGATTCTTCAGTATATTGAGAATGTCATTTGTGCTGATCCCTGCACTTCAACTTTTTCCTGAGAGAGTTACTGTTCCTCTGTTTCAGAATTTCTGATTTTGCTTTCTGCAGGTGTTTCTTTGCAAGTTTGGTCACAGCATTTCCCCTGATTTTAAGGAAAAGAGTCCCAATATCTTCCAATAGTTTACATTTAAGGGCTTCCTGTTCTCCAGCCATAAGCTTATCCCAGTAGTAAGACACCATGTATGTTGTCAAAAGTCCTTCTTTGAGACTGTCAGTTAACAAAGAATGGGATTTTAAATTGTCCAAGTCTACACATTTCCACCACGATTACATTTGCTTGTCCATTTCTTGAATTTTGTCAAGAAGGTGTCTCCATTGCCAGCATGTGTCATAAGTCTTCTCAGTGTAAGTTCATGCAGATCTCCATGATAACATTTCTTCTTTCTCAAAGCATGTATAATAAATCCAGCCACATAAAACAAAACACTTTGATCGTTTTCAGATAGTGTGACATCACATATTTCAGTCTTCTTTTCCTTTCTCAGAGTAGCAATATGAGTAACTGCTGGTATGAGCTTCTGGAGGAATGACTGTATGAACAAGGTGCACGTTAGTTCCTCTGTAAAGGTCTCTAGTAAAGCTAATATCTGTGAGAGAAGCGTGTCGTCCAGACGAAGTTTGTGAAATATTTTCCACATTGATTCCCTGTCAGAACATAGTGATGTCCCTTTTCCAATGCCGACAAACAGTGAAAAAAGTGGCTCATAAAGTATTACTTCCAATTTTGCAATAATGTCATGATTTTCTTGTAGTGTCTGACACAAACCATTTATTTCCTTTCTTCTTTCTGAAATAGGCTTGTCAGGTGACATCTCTTTCAGGGTCGCATGTATTGCCTCTGTGAGTACTTCCCTTAAATCGTGCACTGATGAAAATAACCTCTGTCCTCCAGTGGTTGATAATTTGGGTTCACTGCTTGAAGCCTGACTTTGCGCAGATCTGTCAACCTCTGAATGTCAGTTTGTTTTCATGAGCTGTAACAAATAATAAACAATATGCTTATTTTCACAATTGGATTATATCATCAAATACAACTATGAAAATGCAGTATGTAAATTAACATTCATACATACAAAGGACTGTTGCTAAATGTATGCTTACATACCTGTTAATATGTTAAACATATGTCAATTGGCATGTGACAATGCTCACTCTAATAAATATGTCCTCTTAACCATTCTTAATTGAATACCAAGTGCCTCACAGAGATAAGGCTTAACCACATGTTGTGAAATATGACTATACCCGTAAAATCGTTAAACACATGTTAAACATGTGTTAATTGGTGTGCGAGATAAGGCTTAATCACATGTCATACTCAAGATTCAGTCACCAGAGCTCCTTATAACTTTTTGAGCAATCGAGTTTTTACTCTAGTTTTCGAGTTGAATTGGGTTATTACATTTTTTGTTGGGTAACAAATATTTTTTCACTCATCTATTCATCAATCTATTGGGTTTTTCCCAAAATTAGTGAACATTTTAAGATTTAAAAATAATGAAATAATGTTTTAGATGTATATAACTGTTCGAAATATATAGGCTTTACTCGGAAAGTAAATTAGCTCGTAATTGTTTCAAAAATTAGCTCCTTTGTATGCGAGCTGAAAAAAGCTTCATTGTGTATTTAAGTGTGCTGTTTTTATACATTTGAGTTTTGTCATTAATGCACACGTTTCTCTACACAAGTTAATTAAAAGTAATTTGGTTTCAAATATATTGGGGGGGTACGCTGCTTATCTGTAGCTCTGAGTCACATTGTGAATTCAATATAACGGGGTATTTAATGGTGATATTTTGGCAATTTGACTGACTGCTAGCAAGAGGAAATGTATCCATTTAGTTATTTCAGTATGCAAACAATATTTCCAGGAATATTAATTAATACTTGCCTTTGAGGTCGGATCTTTGATGCTTGTTATTGACATGTCCACGGAAACCTTGTATTGTCACATACTTGTTCTTACAAACAGGACATGAGTACTTATATTTCTTCTGGAAAATCGTTTTCTCGCTGTTCTCCTTGCCTTGAGATGTTTTTGGAGAACGTGCTTGACTGGTCGAGGAACGAATGTCGCTGGTATGTCCTGTTTCTTCAATGTCGTCGTCATCGGAACATTCACCACCACTGATTTTCTCATCTTCGTACTCAGTGTAGTCACCCAGTAATTCCTCAAGATTGATATCGTAATCGTCCCAGTGAATAAAGTCTTTATCTTTATCCATGTCAATGAAAGTGGTGTGAATGTGATACTCTTGTTTACATCGCGTTATGTATCCTAGCAGACGAGCGGAAGTCGATAATAAACGGACTCTCCACGCAAAAGAGCGAGTAATCATTGCGAGACTTCCGTGCGGTTCCCCGCCTCTGTTGCGCTCGCTACACAAACGCGAGGGCAGTTGACTAGTCAAGCGCGCGGCAGAGACCAACAGTGGTGTGCACAGCGGCCTCGAGTCCATCGTATTAAGTGTCCATGATATGACCTAGCTTATACCAGTACACATATCAGGTCAACACCTACAGGTTGTAGTGAGATGAAATATATATGACCTGGACATCATTCCACAAAGAGGTCTTTGGGCTGTCATAAGTCTATGCGTAGGCATGGGAGTTACGACCCCTTTGTTGGATGAGGTCCTGACAGCGATCGCGATCCATGTATCATGTAGAAAGCCAAACATGAACCGAGATAAAATATATATGAACACGGTTCCTTACAACTCTCATGTTTTGTTCCCAGAGCAAAACTAAAACAATGACCACAACATTTCTTTGTGAAAAATTTGTGTACATATCTGGTCTTGCAATCACAAATTTTATATAATGTTTAAAAATGTTTTTGTTTCCAAGGCAACATGTTGAACTTATGACAAAATGAGGCCAGGCCATATTTCTTGAAGATAGCCTATATGTTCAACATGGACACACACACACACCAACACACACCACAAGGCGATCTGGTACACAGTTTGACAGGTACACAGGTAGACTTTCCAACACACAAATAGACATAGACTGTCTAACAGATAGGCTGTCAGAATTACAGGTACACTGTCTGACACACAGGTAGACTTTGTAACTTAGCTTATACATCACATATTTAAATATAGCACAGATAGATCAAAGCTTGTCTCACCTGTTAGAGCTTGAATCTTCTTCACTCTAAGACCATCTGACTGCCCAGATGACTGACTGCCACTCTCGGCTAGACATAATATCCCCTCCCTGCCTGAGGTATGTGAATTCCCTGAAGTGCCTGAAGTTTGTGAAATCCTCAAACTGTCTGACATCTGTGATCCTGTGATGTCATGCCCATTCTTCCCCGGTGTACCACCAGACACCACCTCCACACACTGGCTAGCACTAGTTGACTGACACCTGGTGTTCAGCCCATTCAGAGACACAGAGCTGGGGATACAGTGATCCTGTGCTTCAAACTGGCCATGTTTGGTCCTGTGCAGTGCTGACATCAGTTTTTGACCCGTTGACTGGGGGAGGTTGTCTGATCTACAGGAAGACATGGTTGCTTCAAGCCTCATCTTCTTTTCAGTCTCTGGAAATCAAAAGCAATGCTATCATAAAACAAATGTAAATGTCCACTAAAAGGTGTTCAACTATCATGCTATGTAGGAGTATGTCAACTGCACTGCTATACATCAGGAGAAAACTGTCACTGAAGTGACTAAAACTGAAATAAATCAGTGTTGAAGATGATACACATCATGAATATGGCATTTCAATTACAAACTATTTGATTATGAATAATTAATAAACTATGCTAAGAACAAACTAATATGCTGAGAAATACATCAGAACCCAACAGTTATCTCATAATGTTTAGAAATAAACCAGTGTTTTCAATGTAGAGGTTTTGAAAGCATATGGCTTGTTAAGGTCTATTGGTGGTGTCTGCAGGATCGATAAACATGGATGTTTTTGTGACACAACCTACCAGTTTGAGTGTTCTGCAAGAGCCGCTTCGAGGACACAGAATGTTCTGGCTTGTACCCACAGCCCTGTCCGGTGATTGATACACAGAGCTGGTGAAACTCCTGTTTGTGCTGGGGACGGGTGTACTTGTAGAACTCTGGAAGAAGTTATTGATCTCAGCAGAATTTCAATTTGGGTCTATCAAGCCTAGACTGAGCAACTTGAAAGCGTGCATCCAGTATTACTGCTGCACCAGGAAAATGATCTCATATTTTCTTCAATGTACACAAAATGATTTTTCATTTTATCACGTACCATTTTGAATGCGTTACAATATACAGACTACTGAGCGTTCCCGTTCCAGTGATGAAGTGTCAACATGCATGTTGACAGGGAATTAGGTCTTGGGGGAATTAAGGACAAAATTGGCATCACTGTCCCGGAACGCTTTATGCACAACATGCATGTTAACAATAAACAACAATGAGCGGAATACCTGCTCTGACAACACAAACACAGCGATGAGCGGACCTTCCAGCTCAGGCATACATTAGGTGAGCGGAGCTCCAGCTCACCTCAGGAGGTTTCCTACAAGCGGCACATCCTGCTCGAGGTCATCCCTAGACCAGCACTCGGACTACCAAGCTTGCCTAACACCATGTAATGGTAACACACATATAGTAATGAACAACAATGGAAAGACAATGATGTTGCTCTGGACATGGGACTTCTGGGGGTGATGAACCGACACAGCTCAGGGGATGAACAAGGCAATAAATGTCATACTATAAATAACAGTAATTAACGGGAAGTGATATAGTAGCCTAGGATGGCTGTCAGTCAATATACAATGAAATGTTGGTGAGGATTAACAACGGGGATTAGGGCCTAAAACGTAATGACATTTAAGTTATGGAGACATGGCTACAGAGTAATTATCCTTTGGAGTCAAATGTACTTCAGACAATGGTAGCCGTAAATCAGTCGCTATGACAGAAGTTCCAACTGTTCACATGTTACAGTATAATCACATAAGTGAAACATAAAAGTACCATGATGTTGGAATGGGTGGTACTGAACATCCTCATGTGTGATATTCTCCTCTTTGAAACTTATTATACACCCTTCAGGTAAACATTAAATGTAAATTTTGCAAACTGTGAAGAACTTTAACAATTGGACCCAAAATCTTCAAAATCCTGGGTCAGACATTTTCAAACTCAATGTGTAGTTTCCACTCAGATACTGTTAAAAATTTAAGCATAATACCACAAAATGTTTTACTTTAAAAGTACATTGTATAATGCCCACTACAAGAGTGATTAAACCAATTGATTGATGTGAAGTTCATGGGGGGGGGGGGGGGGGTGGGTGGTGAGTCCTTATGCTATAAGGTGTTCCAGTTGTATTTGAGATGTTATGTTAATATGTGTAATATTAGTGGCAAAGGAAGCAATAGTAACTGTCAGTGGTAGCAAATGATTGAAGTGCTAGTAACAATGTTGTGTGCAGTTGGTGGCAGGAAGTGATTAGACTTATCTCCCTGCCAGTTTCCACGACTATACCAGATTCAAGAACAAAGAAGGACCTATAACAACACTTTTGACAAAATTTTGAAAATTTGTCCGAGCATGCACTACCATCTATTACACGGCTTGTTACACATACCTGCTGCCACATACTAGACCCATTGTATTGCCTTGTTTTACTGTCAACGTCAAACTGCGTGTTTATAGTGATTCACTAATCTTGTGTGCTCATTTACAGATTTTAGAGTTGAGTTCTGTATGTACTGAGTTGAGTTCTGTATGTATGTTCTTTACAGAATGGAGGTGTAATAAACTGGATATGTGACCGATGGCTGAATATAAATTTATATATCTCACTCACTGCGGAAGAGGTGATAGTTGTCTGTCTTGTCGGTGAAGAAGTCGGCCAGGACTGTGGTGACTTTAGTCAAGTCCTCGGTCTTGCGGTATTCAAGCAGAGCACGAGAGAACACTTTGTACGATTCAGCTGTGAGCACTTTCTTTACCTAAAACATTACCCATAAGAAAGGTCTTGAAAGTGAAGTAACTCTCCCTTATTGGCATACATGCATAGTAATCATTCTCAAAGCAGACAGGACAGTTTAAGCTATATGATGCATCCTGATGCACTGTTTGAACAATACGATGTGCTGATGGTGACATTGTTTCTAACGTCACAGAATGATGATATTAAGTCAAAAGAACAATAGGTTCACATCAGTTTGATGTGTTAAGGTTTCTTCATTTCCATATCTTAAAATGACAATAAATATATATATCAGTAAAATGAAGTTAAAGGGGTCCAACAGGAAAGTTACAGAGAACACTTGGGGATCTGGCTGACAACAAATACAGTGTCCGTCCACCCTGTGTGGCTACGAAGGCTGTGCTCCATCTCCTCCTTGAGTTCACTAAAAAGACCTCGAGCATGCCTGACCCAACACCATCACACTGCCACCTCCCCATCACTCCATTCCATGACACAGCAGTCTACATAATACTCACTGTGTCATCACCAAATACCGACACAGCAATCAGCATCAGACAGATGGGCTGTTATCAGTGAACAGGATTTGCTGGCACTGCATATGCCCGCCAGTGCTGATAATAACATGGAGTCGACACTGTCTGTGATGTGATGTAGGGATTGGACCTGCATAAGGATGGTGTGATCAGTGTCCTGCAGCCTCTACGTGGCGATGTGCAGTCATTTCCGACACTTGTCCTATGTCCTTGGAGAGTCCTTGATGTCTGTGGTGCTGCTGGTAGCAGTCTCTGAGATGACGGACAGCGTTGTATTGGTCCTGAACAGGGGAGGTAACTTGTCTGGTTCTATGCTGACTCTTCCTACGATGCTGAAACTATTCCGGAGGAAGTTTCCAAAGCCTAACAACTATACGGTCAGGATATACTCCAGGAATTATACAACCTTATCCATGCGTTACAGCCTACCAACAAGGAAGAACAGCCTGCATAACCCTTGAACTCTACCATCAGCCTGGCTTTGAGGATACAAAAACTTCCAGCTGATTATCAAGTTCCTCCTAAGCGAAGACATGTGACATCCGGGCGTGACTCCTTTTGTGCCCCAGCCTGGAAAGGCAGATCAGCACGTCCCAAGGATAATTACACCAAGAGTGAGTAGTCCTTCCAACAGCATGGCAGAGGTAGGGGTTGAGGCTAAAGTTCAGCATATTTCTCCAAATCGATTGCAGACTAATTCAACACAAAGCAAACCCGGGACCAGTCGGGGTTCATCTGATGAAGTATGCTGCCAGCTGCCACAAAGATGGCCATACACATCTATTAGACAAAGGCGTCATAAGTGCAATAAATGAGTCATACACCACCAAAGGATTCTACTCATCAATTTTCCTTGTTCCGAAGTTAAATACATCGCACATGTGCATGATAATTGGCATAAACGTACTCAACAAGGACTGTGTAGTGTGTTCTCCCAAGTTCCAAATGGAGTCTGTCAAGAAGCTGAGGAACTCCCTCCGACAAGGAGACTGGATGATAAGTCATTAACCCAAGTTGGCAACATTATGTATGACTTGCAGTCAACAGGCAGAGGTTCAAGTCAACATATCGCTTGCTCCATTTTGTATAAATGTAAGAATACTACTCTATTAAAGGGAATTGTCCCTCCCACCTGCCCAACATATGTGCTTCCTAGTCGATGAGGGTTATTGGATGAAAAAGTGACATTTTCCTGCCTCCCGTATGCGCAGTTGCATTAGTGAGGAGGATAGAGTTTGCCTCACAACTATTAGAAATGTTGGCAGTGAAGAGGCTGTCTGTTGAAAAATCTACGGGATTTTACAGAGTGATTACAGCAAAAATAGGAACTATGATGTACTAAAGGTAAGGTATTCAAAAGAATTGTGTACTTCACACATTGGTACCCATGTGGGGAAGATTAGGCAACCCGACTGCACCCAGAGTAACAAAAAAAACAGCCATGACAGCTAAAGAAACTGTAGCTCTGTCTGGAGTAGGTACAGACCTGTGTGATGTAGTCCTCTGCCTTGCTCAGATGGCCTGCTGTGGAAGGCTGGCTTGGTTGGAGTGTCAAGCTGGAAGACTCTCCTGGCTTCTACAATGAGGAACTTCCACTGAGTGGGCTTCACCCTGTCTTAGTTCACACACCATAGCAACAAAGTGAATTCATCCCTATGTTCCTACTAAGTCCTTGGCCCCCTTCACATCAAGGAAACAAAGTGGAGACTTATTCTGTGCTGAGCATATTCATCCCTGGGGACCTACTCTGACCTGACTCCCACACAACACAACAAAGTCTATTCATCGCTAGGGACCTACTCTAGCTTCGAACCCATCCCACCCCACATCATGACAACAAAGTGCATCTAGAGTCCCGGGGACCTACTCTGTCCTGGACACACACACACACACCCTCATTATAGCAACAAAGTGCATCTTGAGTCCTGGGGACCTACTCTGTCCTGGAAATACACACACACACCCACATTATGGCAACAAAGTGCATCTTGAGTCCTGGGGACCTACTCTGTCCTGGACATACACACACACACCCTCATTATAGCAACAAAGTGCATCTTGAGTCCTGGGGACCTACTCTGTCCTGGACATACACACACACACACACACATTATGGCAACAAAGTGCATCTCAAGTCCTGGGGACCTACTCTGTCTTGGACACACACACACACACACATTATAGCAACAAGGTGCATCTTGAGTCCTGGGGACCTACTCTGTCCTGGACATACACACACACACCCTCATTATAGCAACAAAGTGCATCTTGAGTCCTGGGGACCTACTCTGTCCTGGACATACACATACACACACACACATTATAGCAACAAGGTGCATCTTGAGTCCTGGGGACCTACTCTGTCCTGGACATACACACACAACCAAATTATGGCAACAAAGTGCATCTAGAGTCCTGGGGACCTATTTTGTCCTGGACATACACACACAACCAAATTATGGCAACAAAGTGCATCTACAGTCCTTGGGACCTACTCTGTCCTGGACACACACCCACACACACCCACATCATGGCAACAAAGTTCATCTTGAGCCCTGGGGACCTACTCTGTCCTTTGAAATACACACACAACCACATCATGGAAACAAAGTGTATCTACAGTACTGAGGACCTACTCTGTCCTGGACACACACAAACACACACACACACATCATGGCAACAAAGTGCATCTAGAGTCCTGGGGACCTACTCTCCTGGACATACACACACACAATGACATCATGGCAACAAAGTGCATCCAGAGTCCTGGGGACCTACTCTGTCCTTGACATACACACACACAACCACATCATGGCAACAAAGTGCATCTAGAGTCCTGGGGACCTACTCTGTCCTGGACTTATACACACACACAACCACATAATGGCAACAAAGTGTATCTACCGTCCTGGGGACCTACTCTGTCCTGGACACACAGACACAGACACATACACACACCATGGCAACAAAGTGCATCTAGTGTCCTGGGGACCTACTCTGTCCTAGACATACACACACACAACCACATCATGGCAACAAAGTGTATCTACAGTCCTTGGGACCTACTCTGTACTGGACATACACACACACACACACATCCTCAAGCTCCTTGCCAGCATATGACACCTTTGTTACACTCTCGGTCTGAGGTCTTGCTGCACAATGACTTATACCACACTACTGTTGTACATACACTTTAGTATTAAAATTATTTCTTTTTGTAGAGTATTTCTTTGTTTTAGTGGGGCGTTTCTTTATTGTTATTATTTTTAAATATGGCAGAAAAATTGCCACGATTTACATTAGCCCATCCCCAAGTAACCTGGGGGTAGTGGGGCATTTAGTCTTGAAAGTAAGACTTGATGGTAGAGAGGTAAGTCCCTGGACAGACAAACAAAACACATACAACTTTCAATATGTTAATACGACATAAACTCTTCATATATATATATACACTAACAACATAGGAAACCACCACAATTTCTGGTTACCTTGATCACAATCTTGCGTTTTTTTGCAGGGTTCTGCCTGACAGGCTGATGTGATGAAACCTGCGGAAACAGAAAAGATCACATTATCCCAGACTGCACCACAACAGACTCATACAATGAGACATGGACGGCCTCAGCGATGCTTCCATTGATTTCCAATGATGACTTCTCCAATATTACCCCTATAACTGGGATATCAACCCCAAATTGTGACAATCTGGAATAGCCAAGATATGTTATCATTATTAGCATGTCCGGTTCCGTATGGATGAAACTAAATAATCTTTTATTTTTGGTTACCAAAGCTTCTCAAAATCTTCAACATGTCCTATCACAAGCTACAACAAGTGCTGTGATGTCACATGTACAAGTGCTGTGATGTCACACATACGAGTGCTGTGGTGCTGTGATGTCACACGTACAAGTGCTGTGGTGTCACATATACATGTGCTGTGGTGTCACACGTACAAGTGCTGTGATGTCACACGTACAAGTGCTGTGATGTCACACGTACAAGTGCTGTGGTGTCACATGTAGTAGTATAGGTAATAGGGGTTCTGGACCACTTCCACTGCAGCCGGATTTATATACCTATACTGCTACTTCAGGTGGCATTTTTTATGCAAAATGATTATGCGATTCAATGATAGTCATGAGATTAAGCTAAATTGGGTCTAGCTCACCAATACCTGGGGCCAATCATTGCTTTAGATGAGCCTAAATGGTAATAAAAATATTCTTCATTATTTTTATCAATAAAGCGATATTCAACATTTTTATTAAGTTCTTCGTTCATTTTACTAGGAGACCAGACTATATAACTACACTCTTCTTGTAAATTGATAAGAAACAATTGATAACCGTATTTGGTTGGTTTGACATCACTGATATAATAAAAACCTTGTGGTAATTCTCTCCATTTAATAGCTTTTTCGATCTCCATTATTATATATATGTATGTAAGCATTTGTCTAAATGTAATCTAACGATAGTAAGCAATCTATTTTTAATCTCCAACCAGTTCTTTGGTTTTGGCACGGAATAATTGACGCGCCTGTTGCCTCCCCTGTTCTATGAACTTTTTTTTCTCATCCTCGCTAATACCACTGGTCTTACGAGATTTTGATCGAATCTCCTGCTTCATTTCATTGTATTTGGTGAGTTCTGACAGCACTAAACGAAACTCATCCTCGGATATCTTACAATCGACCATTGCTGTCGAAATATGATCCTCAATGCTGTTCAACTTTGCTTCGGCGAGTATCCGAATACTATCGTGTTTTAATGCTTTCTTTTGCAACCTACGAGAAATGAATTTTATCGCTATTCCTGCCAGTCCCGAGACTCCAGCGGCTATTTCCATACCGAGCACGATAGGCACGGCGATTATAGTTGATAGTAAACCGACACCCACTACACCGAGTCCCATGCCAGCTGCTACAAGCGCGGTGTCAACATTCACGGCTCTGCGATACTTTTTATACAATCCAAGTTTTAACTCCCTATCCTTCTCTATTCGATGTTTTATGTCGCTTATTTGATGTAATCGAAATCCATCAACAGTTTCCATCTTTTCAATTGCTTCATCGAGCGCTGGATATAAACTCATAGTGTATATTACGATCATATAATAGTCTTTAATTGGTCTTGCTTAAATGTTTTGAGAGTATACATCAATCTTATCAAATGTATATTATACGGCAAGAATATCTTAGTAAGAGAAATACTACCACTTTTAATAATTTGGACCCCCTCGAGGGTTGCAACGAGCGATGCTCCGATATGAATAATACTGCAACGTCGACGCTTGTGTTTCTTGAGCCATATAATTGATAGACCTGGTAATATTTCGAAGGCATCTTCCGGTACATCTCCGAACAAGACTTCAATAATAAGCGTGGAAATATTAGGTATTGCACTCAAGTTCTGTTTAATATCTTCGAATTCAGTAACCAAATTTAAAGTAACATTTTTTAAGGCCGGACGACTATATAACATATGGCCTGGGTTTTCTGGCAGGGGGGTGACTAACACACTTTTTCGTTTTGACGGGATATAAGCCGCGAGTACGATGCCACTATTTATTATCTTAGTTAAATTATATGCCTTACCCATCATCGCATAAGGTAGGGTAAAGACGATATTCAGTAGCCACTCGATGTTTGCGTCGACCATAGTCCATTTATTATCGTCGTTGCGAATAATATTGTACGAAGTGTTTTTAATGTGTCTACTAACGTCGACATCGCTTAAATCTTCTAGATTACCAGTGAATGTAACTTCTTTCCGCTTGTATACATTATCGTGTAAGTGTAAAGCGTATAACTTACCATTGGTACCGGGTTTACCGAATCCTTCTGTGTCTCCGAGATCGGAAAGCGCAATTGTATTACATTGTCTGAGCGTTCCAGGGCCTGATGCATCAACCATTATTTTTAATATGGAGTGTTACACTTAAGTATCCTATATGTACCGGTTGGTGTTTTACATCTAATACAGAAATTTTGAGGTCTGAAATAATACCCCGCTTTAATTTTTTATATTGTAATGACGAGAAAGATTCTGTTCTACCGCTATTATATTTTTCATTTTTCACTGGAATAGATCTGAGCAGAGTTGAAGGACTTTCTAATTGAATATTATCCGTCGTGCTTATTTGATCAAGATGGATACACAACTCTTTATAGGGAACTAAATCGGACAATGTCTCTCAATCAAATGTTGACCTGAATATTGCTAAAATTCCGCGTGTAAATCCAAGTGTAGCTGATAAGTTCCCTACAATCCGTACACCTTTTTCTCCAGTGTCGAATTTCAACATCCCATTCGACTCATCTTGTGTTAGACTAATTCCATTAGGCTTAAAAATTTCATCATTGAGTGAGCATACGCTGTAATACCCATCAGGTATAATAATGAATTTTTCAATAATATTTCTTTCATCTAATATCCATATCTTATTATTACCTCTTGCAGCATTTATATTGGTCCACAGCGGGTAATACGTTACGTCACAGATAGCGACTTCGAGCTGACCATCCGAGTTATCGATAGCACGAAGCAGTTGAATAGACTGACCATTTGTTATTCCCGGGAGTGTAACATACATATTAAATATACAATGATACTATATCATAACTTAAATCAATCGATTATAGTAACTGCCTCTGGTGCTGAGTTTGCCGTTAAATTCCACGATATCTTTGAAAAATACAGTTTCACGGCAACTAACGATACAATGGTGGACGATTGGTTTAACCGTCCGATGCAATTTTGGCAGAATCAGTTAAACTTTGCCGTATGGTGTGCCACAACGGGATGTGGCGTATCTGTTAATGCCCCAGGATTTAAACTATATAAGTCTGTTATATTATTTCATGTGTACTATCAGATTAGACGTATACTTAAAGAAACTAGTGCTCCATTACCGCTGGATCCAGCATGGAATCACGCAAATAATCATTATAATAAGAGGGCCTTCGAACATATTTGTAATGAATTTAATGTTTCTACGAGTAAAGATTGGCGCATCAAAGGACCTAGCCATGGTCTAGGTATTCCGTACAATGGACAAAGAACTATTAAAGATAAAAGCGATTATTTAATTAAAGAGGGTGTGATCCCTTCAGGCTTTGCTCTCTCGAGTAAACAGTTTAGAGCAGATCGTATGAACTTTGAGAGTGGCATTCCTTATATTATAACAAAGTTTGTGCATCCAAACGATACAACAGACGCTTGGAATGAATTTCTTAATGATAAAACGGAAAATAATTTTACTAACCCAGGATGTGAAAGAGTTAATGAATCGATAAGAACTTATGTATGGGCAATTCTCGGTGCACAATCGCAAACACGAACGTCCATTATCGGTACTGGGACGGCGTTCGATGCGCAAAAACAGTTTGTCGCAAACGTGGAGGACGCCATTAATTCACCAGTTGACATACCATCGTCTATAAAGCGTTTTCAAGATGTATTACAGTACGCTCAATCCAAAGTTGACTTCGTTTATGCGCCGGGATTATACATGTCTCCGAGTATTATGGAACTTAAGATCGGTCAAGTGATAGGTTATAATAATAAAATTGTTATCGCTACCGATAAACAAAAACCAGGTATAAATTCAAATATTAACGCAAACAATCACGGGCGAAAAGGGAATAGTCAAGCCGCAAACACCAACAATCGCTCAAACATCTACTAACGCAAAAACGCAAGTGCCACCGCATATTGAGGCTAAAAATCAACAACATATCGATGAAAAAACAGCGCTTGTAGTGGGTGGAGTCGCGGCTGGTTTACTCATGATTTGGTAAGCGAACTGATTTGGATAAATAGTTCTTAGCGGATATGTACAACAGCCCTGCAATTGCTACGATCAACACCCACAAGTTTTGACTAAGCCAAGTGGTGGTCTTAGCTAATAAATTCAATAGCCAGGAAACAACACTCTCTATTATACCGGGAAGTGCGGCCGCGGCTTTCTCAGCGAGCTTTCCCAGGGCTGAACCTAATGCTTTTAAATGCTTTTTTATCCACTCTTTTATACCATCCGACGTAGGCGGTGATCCACCACCACCTGTACCGCTGGTTAACGCGAGAGTCAAAGTTGATATAATAAATCCCAACGCGGTTAAAATACTGGCAATTGTTATCCCCTGTTCTCTGAACAATGTTTTAATTTTATCGGCCAGTGTAGTGTCATCGTTGAGGACTTGATCGATAGTTTCTCGAATTCGACTGATTTCCGAACGAAGTGCCTCTCTATTACTGGAAGCTGCTTCGAGGCGGGCCGATCTTTCGTCTTCTAAGTTACGCAATCTTTCCGCTACGCGGCGTCTACTGAACTCATCGCCCGCCTGTTCAAGTTTTGTTTTCTCGTAATCTATATGCTTGTCGATTTCAGATATCTTGGCCATATTATTCATGAGTTCTCCCCGCATTGTTCGCATTGCCTTGTCAAGACCTCGTAATTCCCTAATACTAAACTCCGAGGATGGTACCTGTAACGTGGAATTATCGTAATAGGTATCTAAGATTTCTCCGAGTCCGTTCGAGGC